GTTGCACTTGGTTTCCAAACTCATCTCCCTCTCTGCCGTCTCCTTCAAGGAATTCTCTAAAGAAGAGTGAATTGAAAACCTAGATTAAGATAATATTGAGAAAATGATGCCTCTACTGTAACTATCAAAAAATATTTTGAAGACAAACAATGGGTGTATGTAGTGCTGTAACTACCTAAATGAACTTAATACTAGTTTCAAAACAAAGCAAAACTAAACTAAAATCTAAGTCCAAGTGTGTTCACCGTATTTATGATATCCTTTAATGTGGGTTACCTGCTTTATTTCCCCTGCTACGTTACACTGACCGGTAAGAGAAAAGAAAACCAAAGTTAGTGCTCTCTTTGAATCCCCAGTACTCTACCCTGCACAAATTAGGTGCTGAAACAATTCATACACTTGTGGTGATACAATGTCTACAGGTGTGTTTTCTGTTACTAATTTGATTTTCAAAAAAATCAAAGTTATTCAAAGCCTCAAATTAAGTTTTGTTTTGATCTGTGCCATTGAGTCCGTTCCTCCTTACAGAGACTCTGTATGGGGTTTCCTGGTGTGGCTGGCACTGTGGGTTAATGCGCTGGACTGCAAGGTCAGTTTGAACCACAAGGTTGGCACTTCCAGTTCACCAGCCGCTCCTCAGAAAAACCCTATCGAGAGTCGCCGTGGGTCGGAACCAACTTGACAGCACTCAACAACAACAACAACATAGGTTTTCCAAGGTTGTAAATCTTTACAGGAGGAGAAAGCTTCATCTTCCACCCATGGAGCAGCTAGTAGATTAGAACTGCTAACCTTATGGTTAGCAGACCAACACATAACCCACTATGCTACCAGAGCTCCTTATCCCTTGCTAATAAGAGAATGTTTATTATAGAAGACACTCTACTGCTTGTGTCTTCAAGGAATTTGTGTAACAAGTCAGATACTAATGTTTGTTGTTCATAGCTGTATGACATAGTTTGATTTGATCCTAAAATAGCATTATAGTTTGAAATAATAGGAATATGATGCTATTTTTCCTATATTCATATTGGATTGCATCAATCTTATTTTGTTTGCTGGACCTCTTTGGCCAACGAGTAAACCAAACTCCTACAGCTTCCTCTGCCTTCTGTAAGAAGGTTCTTACTACAGCCTCTCATGAAGGCATGTGTCTGCCGCAAACTATAGGACAAGCTCTTTAGTCATCTTGCTCATTTTGGTGACTCCGGAGCCTGCAGGAAGTGTGCTCAATAAACATTTGTTGATTGGTAACTGACAGTAAAGGGCTATCTACAATGTAGTTTAAGTTTTGTAAGTCAGTCAGTTTTTATAGAGAATGAGTTTTATTCTTTACAATACATTCCTTTCCCTACTACACTTTCTGCTTCCCTCCTTCTCTCTGTCTCTACTTAAGCAATATTTTATTTTAATTTTGGTGAAAGTATACATAGAAAAAGGATCTCTGGTGGCGCTGTAAGAGAAGCACTGTATTGCTAACCACGGAGTCAGCAGTTCAAACCTACCAACCATGCATTGGGAGAAAGATGAGACTTTCTGCTCCCTTCAGGCAGGATTTCCAGTCTCAGAAACCCTATAAAGGGTCACTATGAGTCAAAATTGACTTGATGATGTAATAACCCATAGTGACACTGGTCGCATTTTTCAATTTGTATCAACATTCTCATTATTTCCATTTTAGATGTTTTATTCCCATTATTTCAGTCTCGCTGCCCCTCCCCCAAGGTTGTCATCTTTGTTTTGAAATAACTGTTCAGTTTGATCTCATATGGATAATTTTTTAAAGAACACAGTTCTTGCTATAAAGTTAGTTGTTCCCCCAAATATAGGTGTTACAAATCCTAACTTCTATAATCCCTTTTGAGAATGGGTGTTCTTGTTATGTTTACCAAGCTGTATTAGCGCAGGGTGTATTTTGCTTCCATCTGTTTTGAGATATAAAAGAGCAGATTAAGAAAGCAGAGAAACAAGCCGAGATGGAGGGAGCTAGATGACAGGCCACGTGAAGATCACCGAGGGGCCAAGGGACAGAAGCTGAAAAGAGACAAGAACATCACCCCCCCACCCCCCCCCCCCACCCCTAGAGCCAACAGAGACAGCCTCCCCCTAGCGCCAGTGCCCTGAATTCAGACTTCCAGCCTCTTCAACTGTGAGGAAAGAAAAACCACCTACTTGTGGTCTTTCTGTTATAGCAGCACTAAATAACTAAGGTAGTTCTCGGGGCTGAAATTCTTTACTTTTGAGTTACCCTGCTATTTTAGTTAAAAGGTACTTTCAGGGAATCATTTCTAGTCAAGGTGAAAAGCATATCTCAGAAGACAGTCTCTGGAATTTTTTTCCATCTCAGTCAGTCCAGTAAATCTGGACTCTGAGAATTTTGAGTTCTGGTATACGTATTTTCCCTCTTTCTTTAAGGATCCATCTACTGGAACCCTAGTTAGAATATTGGGGAGTAGTAGCTGAGCATCATCTAGTTCACCATCTGGTCTCCATGAAGACAGTTAGTCCTATACTCTGATTCATTCTTTGGTTCTTGGATTTTCTTCATTCTTTTTGTCTCCAGCCAATTAAAGGCCGACAGTTGTACAAATGTAAGTCAAAAACTATTGCTAGTTTTTGAAATAGGGTTCCAGCTCATGTATGCATAGGTTTATTCCAAGCAAAACGTGTTTAAACATGTCTCTGTAATTAATGGATGGCTGCAGACAAATTCTCTCATTAATTCACCTTTCTTAGTCTCAATAGCGTGCCTTCAGAAAACAGAAGGGTCTAATCAAAACAGTGGCTTCTGAGGGCTCTGTTGGACCAGTTAAATACAAGGTAGGCAGGTTAGCTCAGAAGGTTATATGTTTTTGGATACTCTAAAGGGGTGCTCTTGATGGATTTTTTTCAAAAGACACAGGGCGATCATGGGGACTCATTATGAAGAAGTTTTAAGAAAATTGAAAATTACATTGAGGAGAAAAAAAGCCAGAAAAATTGTGCTGTTTGAACTTTTTTCCATCATGACAGTGCGCCTGCTCATTCTTTGAGGGTAGCAGGGGCTGTTCTATGAAAAATTGGTTAGGAGACTTTGCCACATCAACCCTACAGTCCTGATGTTGCCCTTTCAGACTTGTTTTTGTTTGCAAAGCTCAAAGACCATTTAAGAGGAGCACGATTTGAGTTCCTCAAGGATATCAGAACTGCCATTTTGATGTGGTATGAATTGAAGCATGCAGGATTCTTTGGATAAGGATTATAGAGATGGAAATACCATATTCAGAAATATGTACACCTCCATGGAGGGTTTGTGGAGAAACAATAGCTTCATAGGTATTTTGATATTTTGTTTAATAAAGGTTTCTATGATTTTGTAGCAATACTTTATGACTTATCCTTGTATTCTGAGATGACCCACTCCCAAACTTTTAAGGCCCCATATACTGCTCACCAAGTAGGGTGTAGAACATGAACATTATGAACTATGGTATACAGCTTGACTGAATTGACCCACTAGACTATGATCCTAAATCTTCAAAGAAATGAATCCCATGAGGTAACTTGTTATGTCTAAGAGGTATCTGCAGCCCAACTGTCTACTTTGTTTTCTACTGTGTATTTGTAGTTGTGTTTGACCATTTTTTTTGAAACAAGGGCCTGTAGTTTTTCCCCTATGATTTCTTCAAAGAACTTTATAGTTTTAACTTTAATATTTAGGCCTTTAATCCATTTTGAGTTAGTTTTTGTGTGGTGTTGTGTTTTGGGTACTTTTCTGCATGTGAATATTCAATTTGCAAGTGCCATTGGTTGAAAAGACTGTTTTTTCTCCATTGAATGGACTTTGACCTCTTGTTGAAAATCAGTTGTTCATAAGTAGATGAATGGATTTGTTTCTGGGGTCTCAATTCCATTGGCTATGTATCTATCATTGAACCAGTACCAGGCTATTGTCATTACTGTGACTGCATTCTGTATTTTGAGATTAGGAAGTGTGAGGCTTCCTACATTGTTGTTTTGCTCTGATGTTTTAGATATTTTGGGCCTCTTTCCTTTCATTATAAAATTGGTGTTTAGTTTTCCCTTTTTTTTTTTTTTTTAATGCTATTGGAATTTTGATTGGCATTGCATTGTACCTATAGTTGTGGGGAGTAGTACTAACATTTTCACTATACTAATTCTTCCAGTCCATAAACATGGCCTATCCTTTAGTTTAAATAAGTCTCTTAATCTCTTGTCGCAGTGCTTTATAGCTTTCACTGCATAAGCTCTTTATATCCCTAGTTAGGTGTATTCCTAGGAATTTAATTCTATTTTCTAGAGGTTATTGTAAATAGTATTGTTTTCTTGATATTCTTTTCTTGTTTCTCCTTGTCGGTGTAAAGAAACCCAACTGATGTTTGTTTCCTTCTCTTAGAAGGAGATAACAACTCATATCATTTTATAATGCTGTTGTCTGCTGTCACCGTCTAGGCAAATCCCTCAACATAAGTTCCCTGGCACAATAGCAAACTAATGGAATTCATAAGGACTGAATACATTTTGTTGACCTATTCCAGAAAGACACGTCATCTCCTTGTAGTGATGACCTATAGTTAAATAGAAATGCCTGAGCGGGACATTGCATTTTAACATTGTTTCTATGGGCTGATTATTCATAAGCAAATAAGTTTCTGTTATCTTGCCATTCTTCTTGGTGACTACATTTCACTCGGATTTGATAGAAATAGCTGTAGATGTGTGTGTAAAACAAAGTACTGTTCAGTTGAAGTCAAGAGAAGCAGTTAATAAATCATAAATTGAGTATGCTGTCGGCAGACTCCTGAGAGGTCAATACAGGGCTTAGCAGGTTGAATTGTATTTGATGATGAGCACTTTATTTTGCTTCTAAGAGAGCATTTATTTTTGTTCCCCTAGAGTCACTTTTTCTTGGGTTCAGTCTCTTGTTTTCTTGTCTGTCATGCTGAATCTCCCTCCTCTGCAACAATGCCAGTTTATTGCATTCAACTCTGCTTTCAAAGGTTTCCATTCCAATAACTGAAGGCCTGGACTTGGTAGCCATGTTGACAGATGATGCTACAATTGCTGGCTGGAATAACGAAGGACTGCCCAGTGACCGAATGTCAACTGAAAATGCCACTATCCTAACGCACTGTGAGCGTTGGCCCCTGATGATAGATCCCCAGCAACAAGGAATTAAGTGGATCAAGAATAAGTATGGAGCTGACCTCAAAGTCACACATCTGAGCCAGAAAGGGTATGTAGATTCTGAAAGGCTGACTTTCTGTTTATAGCTGCTTTGAGGTGGGTTTAATTTTTATACAGATTTAGTATTTGTTGGAGTCCTGGCATGGCACTGGACCAAAAGCTTGTTTGAATCACAAGGTTGGCAGTTCAAACTCACCAACTCCTCCTCAGAAACCCTATCAGGGTCGCTATGAATCGGAACCGGCTTGAAGGCACTCAGTGACAACAGTATTTGTTAGACTTCTTTATCACTTTAAAACATTTCAATATGATGCTAGTGGTTTATCTGGGTGGTACAAGTGCTTTGCACCTGACAACTAACCCAAGCACTTGGTGGTTCGAGCCTACTCAATGGCACCACAGAAGAAAGGAATGGTGATCTACTTCTGGGAAGAAACATAAAACAAGAAAACCATAAGGAGTAGTTCTGCTCTGACGCACGTGGGGTCGCTGCGTCTCCGTTGACTCAGTGGTAACAGGTTTGGTTTTTGTTTTGTTTTTCTGTCTGTTCATGTTTCATATAAAGTATGTCTGCTGAAAAACCATTTATGCTGGATAATGTCCAATTAAAATGAAGAAAAAATTAGCTTGTTGTTTAGCTCCAACACTGAATCTGAAAAGTGAAACATTTTCTAAGGTCAAGAAAGGCAAGATGATATATAGGGTAATGTCTTAAGAGTGTTGGTATATGGTAAATAATAATAATTAAAAAAAAAAAAAGAAAACACTGCCATTGAGTCAGTTCTGATTCATAGCGAATCTTTTTTTTTTTTTCTTAATTTTTCTTTAAATGTTTTATTGTGAATTATGTGATAGTCTACATGGGAGAATATTAGTTATACATTCATCCTATTGTATATTGTTTCATTGCCATGGTTACAATCCCCTCCATGCATCATCAATCAACCACAGGGTATACCCTGCAAGCCTGCCCCCCAGTCGTCAGCACACAGCCCCTCTCCCTCTCTGTGTCTAAAGTCCCCAGCTGCACCATCTCTCCAAGTCATTGTCGCTGCCTCCATCTCTGGCATCACTGCTTCTCTGGGTAGGGTCCCACTCTCCGCTCTTCTCCGTTGATGATCCTAGGGACCTCTGCTCCTAGACTGGAAAGTTAATCACTTCCCTCCTTTTGCTACAAAACATCTACCTTTACATTTCCAATCCTCACAATCAGCCTGATAACAATTATTCACTATTGTATCACCAGAGACCTATCCACATTTCCTTTCATCAGCAGACAGATTGGCTACTACTCAGTGGAGATTCTACCTTCCTCCACACCCTCTGGATCTTGATTCCCACTTGAAAGCTTGTAAGCCAGTCACTTCTTGCCTTTGAAGCACCCCCATTTTGAGTAGCCAATGTCCAAGTTGCCCATCGCTGTCTACTCTGTGTATGGAGGGGGTGGGAATGATGCTTGCATAGTGAATCTTTTACAGGATCAGACAGCCTCATGTTTCTCCTGCAGCGTTACTGGTGGGTTTGAACCACTGACCTTTCAGTTAGCAGCCCAACAACCTTAACCACAGATCTGCCAGCGCTAGTCACCTGCACCTATAGGTTCAAAGATATTTGCAGGCATATTCCTAAATATGTACATTGTCTATAGCAAGCTCTCGACATGGCAATAAATCCCAACACTGGCTGTCTAAAGATAATTTAATTATTTGTCAAGTTCCCTTGTCACTCTTGAAACTGGTTTTACTATGAGATTCTTTTTATCCTGGGGTCCTCACAACATTACTATCTCATAAATTGAAAGCTGTCAATGTGTAGTTGGTGTTCACTGAACACTGATTAAATTATTTTAGACCAATTGATATTTCATTTGACCCTTTGTCAGCTTTTCACATATAAACTGAGGTAAGAAATTTCTGTAGTTATATAGATAAATGCAGTCCTTGTTGATCTAAATACCTAGAGAGAAAAAAGTTGGGGGTTGGGAGAGACTTTAGGAGAATGGGAATAGAATAAAATGAAAATTCACCACTTAACATGACTATATTTTAAAGTTGAAAAAGACAATTTGAGGAAGTCACTAGACATTTAGTATAATTTTGAATTTTTTAATTAAATGTAAAGGACCTGTTAAAAAATTTAATTTATACAATTGGATGGATTACATTTATTTCCACCATGATTATTATTTTAGAAATGAATTAATTTACATATGGCCTTAGTTTGACTTTTGAATTTTACTTGGAAAAATGTGACAGTAAGATCTCTCTCAAAAGCTGATCTTTATGTGCATGTAATCTAGTTGAAGAAGACTATTACTTTATAAAATAGTCTGCTTTAAGTTAGTATATCCCATTTAAAATATCTACATTAAATTAATTTAATCATATAAATAGCCTTGGGCATTTTTCATGTGCTTACTGACACTATCTCAATTCTGACTTAATTTAAAGGTTTTTGAACACTATTGAAACAGCGTTGGCCTTTGGAGATATCGTCTTAATTGAAAACATTGATGAAGTAATAGATCCTGTGCTTGACCCACTGCTTGGCAGGAACACAATTAAAAAAGGAAAGTAAGTGTTCTTGAATTTTTAACATTTGTTTTGGGATGAATTGTTATTATTTGCCTCTATACCTTGGACTCATAATTACGCAGAATCTATTTGAACTGCATAGTCGGTGGTTCAAGCTCACCAGCTGCTCCTTGGAAACCCTATACTGGGTCACTATGGGTCAGAATCGACTCAATGACACTTGACAACAACAACAACATTGGACTCCTCTTGGTGACAATTCTGAACTTTCAGTCCCTGGCACCTAGGCTTCAAAGACAAAGCAGCTTCAACATGACCCAAATTTTAGACTATTTGGTGGATTTAGATCCATTTTTGCTCAATTTCTGATTTAAAGGCCCAGACTGCATTGTCATAAATTGTACTGAGAATAGTTTCCCCTTTACTAGCTTGTACCAATGATTTCTCTAACTGAAGTAATTTGCAAGACAGTTTTAGTATTTTTGCCTTATCTGCATATTACTTGTACTATTTATTTCTTTAATAGTTTTAAGTCAATTTTAAATCCACTAATGACTTTTTTCATCTCAGCCTCATTCAAGGTTATAACACATTCTACTTTTTTTCAAATGTACTTTATAAACAGTTAACCATTCAAATAAAGAAGTCGTTGTGAAGGACCACTGAGTCCATGATGATCCATAGCGGCCCTGCATAGGGGTTCTGAGGCTCCTTGTGGGAGCAGAAAGCTTCATCTCTCTCCCACAGATCAGCTGCGGGGCTCAAACCATTGACCTTGTGGGTCACAGTCCAGTGCTTAGAACTCATTGTTGTTAAGTCCTGTCAAGTAAGTTCTGACTCATAGTGACCCTTTTTAGGGTTTCAAAAGAGCGGCTGATGGGTTTGAACCACCAACTTTGTGGTGAACAGTCCAGTGCTTATCCTACAGTGCCCCACAGGCTCCCAAGAACTCATTAGTGGACCCACTAATAGCATCCCTTGACACCATGGGAGACTACCAACAACTGAGAACACCCCAGGTAAAACACATGTGACTTTCCAAAGTGCAACTGCTTTGCCTCCTGGAATACCACACTTTCCAGAACATTCTTCTAGAGTATCCCAGACATCCCCAGGAAGCCACTCTGTCAGTTTAATACAAATGTGTGAACAATAGACATAGTGATTAAGTCACTAAGCAAATCTGAGTGGGCTGAGGGAGAGACTGGCATTCCAAAAGCTCTCGTGTTTCCTCACTCAAAACACCACCTTTCTCTAGAATCAGTATTGCACTGGATTTCCTTTGCTTTGTTGTTTTTTTCCTTCTCAGAGATATAATTTCAGAACTTCCTTAACCCCCTCCTTCTTCCTTAACACCCACTCTTTGCCGCAAAGGTATAGATCTTCTGCATTACTAGATTCTCCCTGCCAATTTTAAGTGGAAACAGGCATACTTAAAGGTGATTACCTTCTATTTTAAACACTCTTTAACTTATTAGTGTGGTATTTATTATATAGCTTACCAGGTAAATCCATTTAGAGTGACTGACAACTTGTAATTGTTTAATAAAGCAAACTTTACCCAGACATGCATTTAGAACACTCTAATAAGTCATTTGACAAACTGTAATTCTGAACATAAATATAATTGTAGCCATGTCTAATGTGTTAAAAATATGGTATAAAATCATGAATGCCACTAATGTGAAATCCTTATTATGAAGGTTCTGATCTTTTATGGAAACCTAATATTTTTGTCACTGAAATATATATACGGCAATCTTTATCTTGGACTTTTCAGTAACACAATTTATGTTTAAGAAATTAGCTGATTCTCTGTTATATTTCTTTGGATTGGAGAAAAGCTGAAATTACCTGAAACTGATGGATTCAAGTCATGATTTGTTTCCATAGGATTGCTGAAAAGAATCAGTGAGCATTCCAGAGGATTTGTATTTTAGAAACTAAAACTATTTTGCAGAGAGCATCAAGTCTTCATTATAAACTATTGTCAAGTCAGAACAATTTGTTTAAAATTTATAATTTTACCGAATATGTGCTCTCTCTTATGCTTTGTAGAACTGATCATGTCTTTCCAGTATTTTCAGAAGACTTAAGTAAGAGAACTAAAAAGGAGCTCTGGTAGCATAGTGGGTACAAATAGGGCTGCTAACCTCAGGGGCAGCAGTTCAAAACTACCAGCTGTTCCATGGGAGAAAGATGAGGCTTTCTGCTCCCATAAAGATTTATAGCTTTGGAAACCCTGTACAAGGTCGCTGTGAGTCAGAACTGACTCCACCGCACATAACAAGAACAACAACAACAAGAGAACTAGAAATTATCTGTAAGAATATAACAAATGGTGTTTATTGGATCAGTTATTGTCTTTACAGTCCTGGCTCCTAAATGCTTATATGTGAGAACAACCACTTGTATGAAGCTGAATTGCAGATCTCTGTCTCTAATTTCTGCTACTTGCCTCACTTGTTCATGTATTTCCAAACGTGAGAGCTAGTGGTATCCATAAAAATCATCTTGTCACTCAGTCAGCAAATCTTCACTAAGCATTGCTGTATGCCAGGCACTATGCAAGTAGCGTAGTGGTTACGAATCAGGCTGCGGACCCTAAGGTCAGCGGTTTGAAACTACCAGCTGCTCCGCGGGAGAAAGATGAGGATTTCTACTCCAGTAAAGATTTATACCCTCGGAAACCCTGTACAGGGTCACTATGGGTTGGAACCAACTCGACGACACTTAACAACAACAACATGCTAAAGGCAAGGAACCCTAGTGGTGCTGTGAGTCAAGCCCTGGACTATTAACCAAAAGCTCAGTGGTTTGAGCCCACCAAGCTCTCTATAGGAGAATGATTCGTCATCTGTTTTCATGAAGATTTACAGCCTCAGAAACTCTATAAAACTAGTTCTACTATATCCTATGGAGTAGCTATGCGTCTGAATCTACTTGAGGGCAATGAGCTTATGCTAGAGGCTGGGAATTCAAAATTCTGTAAGATTTCGAGGCACCTCTGGGTATAGTAAACTGCCAACGTTTTGGTTAATGCCTTAGTGTTTAGCAATGTGCACCATCTATGGACTCTGCAATAAGGTACGGACCCTGCCTCCAAGACATTTATGTTTCCTTAGGGGAAGATAGAACTATCAACAGTAAATGCATTGTGGTGTCACTAGGATAATTAGAGAGTTATATATGGCAGGAAGCATTCCATAGTAGAGACTTGAAAAGGCTTTGTGGAAACAATTGTATGTGATTTACATTTAGTCAGTATGGTTCTTGAAAGATGAGTAGCCATTTGTCAGGTAGACAATTGGGGAAGGAGAGTCCTAGGTGAGGAAATTCATAGCAAAGACAAAAAACAACCCAACAGGTTTAGGGAACTGGAATTAAATCCAAATGCATGTGAGTCATGACTAGGGGGAAAGGGACTAGAGTGTGGACTGAGAGAGATGGGACTGCAAAGGCCCAGAGCATGGACATCATTGTGCATCTACAGTTGACTTGCCGGTTAGCCTTTTCCAGTAGGTCAAGGATCCTTGTTTTTCCCCCAGAGGCCCATTCCTGTCAATAGCAGTAGTTGACAACGGCAGTTGTTTTTGATATTGGGTCAAAGCACTGCCTTCCTGGAGTCACAAATCTGGTATCTCCATCGTTTTGCTTGAGAATCATGGACATAAATAAATGGGGATGTTAGTGAAGACTCTTAAGCATTCTGGGGGTAATGTGTACATATTTATGTCTCTGAATGATCATATTGTTGGCAAGTTCAAGTAGTGGTTGAAAAGAGTATGGACTTGGAAGCAAAGTCCAGTACCAAACAATTACAAATAAAGGTGAGATATGATGTAAGCCTGAATTAAAGCTCTAGAAGTAGAGCTAGAGAGGACAGGACAGATTTTTTTTAGTGATCGAGTTCATATCATTCATTCATGGTTACTAGCTGGATATTGTTGCCAGAAAAAAACAGAAGAATCACGGATGATTCCTAGTTGCCTGCTGCCTGAATTGGATTAAATGATGGTGCCATTTATAGAGAAGAGAAGAGAAGTTAGTGGAAGAGGGGAAGTTAGGAAGAGAAGTTAGTGGAAGAAGGGAAGAGGTAGTTCATTCCCAAAAGATACATCTAATGTGCAGTTGACGTATATGCATAGAACTTATAAAAGAGTTCATGGTTGAACATGTAGATTCAGAAACATCTAGATAGAGAGGTAGTTCAACTGTTGTGGTAAATATGGTTGTTTGGAGAGACTTTTCACAGTCAGAAAGTTGGAGATTCCCCTTACTTTACAGCTGAGAAAAATGGGGGCTGAAAGTGCTTAGATAATGCCTTTTTGTGATGCCCTAAGTCCTGGTATGACACTGTAGGTTCAGCCCTGGACTGCTAACCACAAGGTCAGTGATTGAAACCCACCAGCTCCTCCTCTGAAACCCTATACAGGGTCGCTATGAATCAGAACAGACTCGATGGCACTTAGCAACACCAAAATGACTATATGAAGAAGTCCGGGTAATAAAAAGTGGGTTAAATGGTGGGCTGGTAATCACAAGATTGGCAGTTCAGAGATACAGCCATGCCACGGAATAAAGAGGAGACTCTATGCTCCCGCTAAGATTTGCAGTCAAAGAAATCCAATGAAAGAGAGTCCTCCTCTGTCTTACAGAGTCTCTTTGAGTAGTAATTGACCTGATGGCAGTGGGTGAGTGGATGACTGCATGAAAGACATCCTGGTGGTACAGTGGTTAAGCACTTGGTTACTAACCAAACAATCAGGGACCCAAACCCACCACGTGCTTTGAAGGAGAAAGATGCCGTAATTTGCTTCTGTATTGTTGTTGCTAAGTGCCATAGAGTCTGTTCTGACTCACAGCAACCCTGTATAGGGTTTCCCAGGAGCAGCTGGTGACTTTGAGATGCTGCCCAGGTGGCTCAAGCCAACCTTGTGGTGGACTGCTTGTCCTATAGTCTTGAAGACTACAGTTTTGGTAACCCTGTGGGGCAACTCTACTCTGTCTGTACAGTTTCTGTAAGTCAGAATCAGCTT